ATAGCTAACATTAATCAATCAGCATATTTAAGGTGACTTCTTTGAATCATTAAAATTGGCATTTTGTTCCTGAAAATCCAATCATTAAAGCAAAAGTTATTAAGGAGGACATCTTTTCTCGCATACTATTCATCGATATACATACATATTTCATATTTAGACAAATTAGGTAATACGCATGGTATATTGTAACGATAGCTATCAATTGATACATTTAAAATCCCTGCCAAAAAAGTATGCGGATTAATATTTTATGAGAGTTTTAAAAAAAATCATATTCTAACAATTCCCCACTGAATAATAAGAGATCTGAAACATCAAAACATATTTGATTGCTGGAGAAAAGAAGTTTAATGGCGATTTATAAAAACACCTGCAAATTTCATCGGTCATTTAAATTGGTTTTAAGGTTTCTTATTTCTCAAAGCAGTTTATTACTCTGTCTTTTTCATAGTAATTATTATGCCAAAGAGAAAACCTCTTTGAGTTCATTTTTGTCAAAGACACTAAAAACATATATTTAGAGCGGTTAATTCGTAATACCCTATATACGTGATTTCACTTTTAATTAATGCCATATCGTTGAGATATGCGTTTTCATCTATTCCGAAATAGTCAAGGGAAAAGCATTTTCAAAATAATTAAAACGAATCCATAGACAATTTGCTACTATGTAAAAATTTTTTTTATTTAAGCTTCTCAAAGCAATCATAATTTGAAGACATTGTCTGATGTTCAAACAACAATGTACCAAAGACACTAAAATGAGCTTTGACATAAAGTAAAAATAAATGATTGATGATAGATACACGATTAAATAAAAAGAAGAAAAAAAAAGGAACTATACTTATGTACCATATTACTAAAATGAATTTTTTTGTTTTGTTCCTTCAAATAAAAATGATTTAGGAATAACCGAAATTTTTGTACATTATCACAAAATAAAAGTAACTTAAATGTGATAAAATTTATTCAAAGCTCAATTAAAGTGAAACTTCCAGTTAAAATTATACAATGGTGATTAATTTTCTTTGTAAATATGTTACGTCATAATAAGAGCTTAAGTTTAATGATATTCATATAAAAAAATATATTCGATAATTAGTATTCACCAACTGGAGTATTTTAATCCTATTTCAACTTGAGATTCCATATTATCATTACGTGCCATTGCAAAATTATCAGTTTTCCTTCTCAAATGTATACGATTACATTTGGATAAGTTTTTTTTAAAACATTTATAGAAATGTTCACTTATAAAAAAATGGATACCAGTGAGAAATATTTATAAAAAAAAATGCTTAAAAATTCTCAACTTTATTCATTTTAACTATATACAATTAAAGAAAATACATAAGGCACCGTTTTAAAGATTGGCAAGAATAAAAAATATTTTATAAATACTTTTATGTCAAGAAAGTATTTCCAGAAAAGTATAAAACTGTGTTTGACTCAAATTTTCGTTTTTTTTTTAAACATATTCAATTTGAAGCAATGAATGAAATATCCTTTTAAAAATTTATCTAAATAGAAAATAAATATTTCAATACGTTTTAAAATTAAACAAGTTTCAAAAGCAATCAGCGTTGTATAAAGTTATAAAAAAAGACTGCACTTAACTTTTATTTTTGAGTTATTTGAGTATTCCAGATTTATTTGAATTTCGAGTACCTGTGGAGTTTAACAATGAAATCGAATCGAAACTGGAGGAAAATTGAGAGGAAGCGAACTAAAACCATCATAAGAAACACGGATCATATCAAACATTCATACTGAAAGCTTATGCATTTCAATTTTCGTTCAAATGGCTTGAATTCGCAACATCGCTTGAATGAATAAGAGGCAAAAACAACTAACTCGTGCGCTGCGCCGTGCTGTTTCCAATCGGAGAATAGGTGTCACTTAAATTCGTTTTATTGCTGGTACAAATGGTGCATTGGATAATCTTAATTTATTATATTAATTTAATCTTTTTTTCTTTAATATTAATTTTAGATTAATTTTATTTATTGAATTAATCTTAATTTAATAGTTTTATTTGGGAGTTTTAAAAATTAAATTTGAATAACAAAACATGCTCATCCCCCCTACCGCCTAATGCATACCCATCGCCCCTCTAAAACCCAAAACATACCCACCGCTCCTCAGCATAGTCCCACCACCACGTCAATTCATTTGAAAAAACCCAGACATTACAAAAAAAAATTTGTTAAAATTTTTAAGACGAGCTTGATTGGCTAAAAATAAGGGAAAATCGAAGCATATGGTATATATTGCTAACATATGAGTGGGGGAAACTTTACGAATTTTTATAATTTCTTGCAATGCCGAAATCTTGAAAATTGTTTTGTATTAAAAAGTGAACGTCATTTTATAGAAAAACATCCATTTACGTCAATAAATATTTATTGAAAATTTCTCAGACGAACATCTTTTGCCCAAAATAGTGCATTTAAAACAAACTGACTTTGCATTTTAAGTATAAACAAGTTTGAAATGAAATTATTGTCGGAAAAATTATAAAATAGTTTCAAATTATGTTAGAAACATGTGTGCTTAAATTTTTCTTTATTTTCGGAGAAACAAGTTCGTCTTAAAAATTTTCGTTAAATATTTCTTGCAATGGGTGTTTTCAAAAAAATTGATGCTCACTTTAAAAATTGACGAAACATTACAAGAAATTATTAAAAGAAAAAAAAATTGCCGCGTATCTCCTCTTATTTTAGCTGTTAAATGCTCCGTATTTTGCACGTTTTGAATTAAACAATTTCTTGTAAAAAATTTTCATTATTTTGTCCTTGACATATATGGATATTTATACCCAAATTTACGCATATTTTTTAATATGAAACAAGTTCTGAATTAATTCCTCATTGCATAAAATTATAAAAATTTGCAGGATGTCCTCCTTTATGTTGACAGTATAAATGACAGTATCTGACCTTAGAAAGTTTTAGACTAAACAAGTTCGTCTTAAAAATTTTCAGTAACTATTTCTTGACATATACGGGTTTTCTAACGAACTGAGCTTATTTTTTTAATGTGAAACAAGTTTCAAATGAACTTCCCTTCAAAAAAAGTTACAAAAACTTCGCAAAGTGTCCTTTCTTTAGTAAGCAATATATATACTCTGAACTTAGCAGGTTTTGACTAATCAATAGTTCGAAATTGTAGCAATTCATATATCATGCGTTTTAACGCATGCAAATTAGTTGGCGCAAACGATATTTGCGTTATGGGGTCGGACACAAAAACTTTTCTTTCTGAGTAAACATATTTATGTATTTATTTATTTTTACTTCGGTTTCTGGATTTTTGATCTTTAGGATATGGGGAGTACTCTGAAAAGTATGAACTGCATGATTAAGTCAGGAGAGCTATCGGAAAATATGGGAACCCAAATATTAATTTCACTTATTTCCGTATTTCATCATATCTTTGGGACTGTTAAATCAAATAAAAATAAAAAATAAATTGGGAATATTTAAATATTTTTTTACCCGAAGATAGTTCCATGTAATTAACAAAAACTGTTTAAATTTACTAATAATTTTTTAATATTTAATTTAATGATGGTCGAAGAAATTTTCGATTACAAAATCTGCATATTTTTGCCTTATTTTTAACTATTTAATTTAAAAATACAATGTATGCGCGAAACTGATTAAAAAATTTCTGAGTAACAAAATTTCGAAAAAGTAGTTTTTTTATACCTTTATTTCTCAAAACCAGCTTTCTCAAGACTAGTTCGCCCATCCCGTTCGAATTTTGAATTTTTTTTCATTAATTTTAATTATTAAAAATAATTACTATTAAAAAAAAATTTTTTTTACGTGGATTGAATGCTCTGCTAACTATTGGAACTATATTTCTCAAATAGCATCGATCCTCCCCATACATATTTTGAGAGTCAATAATCCAAGAAAATTATGCCGGTTGAAAAATGAAAATTGACGCCCGGTGGCTGAGTGGTAGCGCTATGCGCTACCGTGCCATAGGTCCTGGGTTCGATCATCGGGGCGGGCAAGGTTGACTCAGTCTTTCATCCCTTCAGTGGGTAGATAAATGAGTACCAAGCATACTTGGGAACTAAGCACTGGGGTTTCGCGTTCGGCTGACCACCTAACCGGAACATCTGCTTCTACACCCCAGAGTCCAAGGTCAAGAAAACTGAGATGGGCACAGTAGGCCTTGGCCCTCTATGGGCTGTCGCGCCACTGAGTTTAGTTTTAGAAAAATGAAAATTACATTAAAAGTGAAATGAACTAAATTCGTTATTCTAAATATCGTCTCCATAAACCAATGAGCATATTTAAGATTAAACATGAGAATTTTTGTTGTTGTTGTTGTTTCTAATCCCCAAGAGGTCCATCCCAATTAGACCAATTCCATAAGTCCAAAAATGTCCAGGAAGTCCAAAAACAGATGAGGTTTTGAAAAAAAACCTCGTCGATCTTAGAGAATTTTTAAGATTATATATTAGTGCATGACAATTATATCACTTGATCAAAAGTTATTTTAAAAAAATGAAAGGTGTTCTGTGTTTAATTTTGTGCCTTGCACTAGGTGAGGAATATCTTGTTCCTTCTATCAAGAAAAAGTAGGCACGCCTCTGGTCAAACTTCTGCTTTTTTACGCAATAATGTGAGTGCAAGTGCTGCCTGCTTTGCTTAAAATCTAAAAGTTTGCACATCACACCAATATTTTATATATAACTCTAATTTTACATATATGACGTGTCGACTTTCCTTGTTAGTATAGCAATTTTAATAGCCAGTAGAGTAGTTGCCATGAATCTCTTTCAAATGAACATATTGTTAAATGTGCGATAAAACATTGTGTAACAGTTAAAATTTTAAAAAAAGAAAGAAAAAATAATAATCCTGAGCATTTACTTCAACTTTAAGAGCAAAAGTGGAACTAATGAGTAACAAGCTGGACTTTTTTTAACCACATTTTTTATGCCTTTTAAGTCATCATGCAACTAAAAAGAACTCACCATGTCGTATCGAAGTGCTGCTAAAGATTTTTCATACAAAAAGTGGTGTGCAACATTTTGCTGCCCTCCTTTACCGACAAGTATTATTTCAAAATTAGCTTTTAAGCCTCTAACTATTAAAACGTATGAACTGATCCCTACGGAAAGTGGATCGATGCAGTATGTTTTCCAGTTATCACCAGACATAGACCAAACCAGCTTAAAGAGATTACTTCAGCAAGATGCTCGGTTTGTGAAAACATTACGGGGGAATAATGTCGTAGTATTGTTTATAAAATGCACCAAGACAAAAAATTTTACAATTCTGTACAGTCATGGGGGCAGTGTTGATGTTGGATACATGCATCGTCTTTGCACAGATTTGAGTTTAATGACTGGATGTGATATTGTAACATATGATTATTCGGGATATGGTGAAAGTACTGGAACACCTTCCGAAATGAATATGTACGCTGACATCAGAGCTGCTTGGGATTACACTATCACGTTCCAAGAGCCAAATCCCTTAAAAATCGTTTTATATGGGCAAGGCATTGGCACAGTGGCAACAATTGATTTAGCATCCAAAGTACAATGTGCTGGAGTTATAGTTCAGTCACCTTTGATGTCAGCTCGAAGACTCTTCATTCCAAGAGGAAATTTGTTAAAATTCTTGCATCATATGAACAGGTAAATAAATTTAAGCACTCAACTGAATATAGAATTTAGAATTGAAAACAAATAGACGAATTTAAAATAGTGCATTTTTCTGCTTAAGTTAACATCCAGTATGATGTTGCGAAGCTTTTTTTGCTCAAATTATTGAATGTCAAAAAATTTTTCATTTCAACAATGAACAAGTATTTAAAAAGATTTCTAGAATGAGTGAGTATAAAATTAACAGGTAAAATAATATTTAAGCAACGCGTAAATCTTATTTTATCAAAGTCCCCTTCAAACTAAAAACATTCACAAAAGAACTTTATTTCATTACTTCAACCATATATATTCATCCTACTACTATATTCATTACCAAAACCATAATGCTCAGAAACTTGAAATTGCACAGGCGTGTAGAAAAATGTATTGAGAGTACAATGAAATAAAAAAAAGGAACAATCGATTACTAGTTCGAGAATTACTAATTGTTAAAATTATCGGAAGAAACACCATACGTTTGCTCTACAACATTGATGTTTGCCATATTTCACTTTCTAATTCATCTGGAAAAATAAAGCTCAACTTTTAAGAAATGTACTTAAAAATAGATTGACAATTTTCTTTATTTCGTTTTTTCTTTGGCGTTAAGATTTTAGAGTCTAGATGCGAAAAACATTTCTGTTTAGCAATTTCTACTGATATTTATTTTGGATTAATAATTTTATTTACTTGTTTTATGCGTACAGAGTAAAACACAATTAACGATTGTCACTACAAAGAGAGGTATGGCACAGCATAAGAATTGACAAGCAACCCATAACCAAAAATATCTTTGGTGAGCCTCTAATGACGTCTCATTATTATAAACGGTGCTAATATGCTTTCGAACTGATACTTTTATTTTATTTTAATTATTTTTATTTTACATTATCTGATCATTAGTATGAAACAGTTACATTTAGTAAAGCCCAGGAATAACTATTTTAACATAGTTTAATAATTAGGCTACCAAACAGATTCAGCAAATTAATTACCAATTAAAGTCATTCAACTGAAGTAAAACAACTATTGTCGGGCCCTTTTGAAAACAGTTTTCAACAAAAATTATTAGAAAACCTAAAATTAAAATTATTTCGATAAATAAAATTACCGGTACATGAACAATTAGTCCATGATAGATGGGAAGGCTTGTTATCATGGCTATACTAGAGGGAGAAAGAGAAAGGACCTCGGGGAAATGAAAAAAAATGATAATAAAAAGAGTTAAAGAAAATAGTAGGTAAAAAAATAACAGTCAAGTTAGCAATGTCACAAAATGTAAAGTGGACCACTTGCTTATTATTGTTGACTAGTTGTCCATTACTGTTGAATTTGCGATATTTATGGTTCATAGAAAAGTACTAACAGGTGTCTTTAAATAGTTTTTAAAATATTAATCAAAACCTTTGAACAATTTCAAAGATTTTGGGCTAAAATTGCTCCATGGCACAGAGGCATGCAGTCAAATTCCTTATTTTATTATTATAGATTATCATATTCATTCATTACTAAGCAGTTGGGATATTCACCGTAACAAATTTCATACGTAGAATAAATTATAAATTTCGTCAAAATAAGGAAGGCGTTTAGAAAACATTCGAGTGGGGAATACCGAACAATGGCACTTGAGCTTGAAAAGATCAGTGTAGGAAATGCCTCATAATGTGTCTTAATATTAAAAAAAACTATCCGTCTAGGAAATACTGGGCAATGAATGACACATCCTTACCGGTTCATTGATCCGGTTATTGCTTATAAAAATTGGAAATTAATGAAATTAACCGCATAGAAAGAGAGGAAGACCTATAAATACTTGGCGAAAAATAATTATAAATGAATTGATAACAATAGGCAAGACACGGAGAGATGCAAAATATCTGGTCATATATAGAGTGAGATGTAAATTTATGAAAGACGCACTATGCTCCAACTCGGAGTGAAGAAGAATATGCATGTATGTAATATTAACAGCGTCTTTTAGCAATTGTAGGAAACGAACACTAATCACATTACCCGGTGTTCACTGATGGCCCAGTATTCCCAAACTGACGTTTGTTTTATGATGTTAAGTGCCATTGACCGTTTTTCCCTATACTGACATTTTTCCTAATGCATCCTGAGTATGAAATTCTTGGTCAGCTCAAAACAAAATGATCCTAAATGCAAAAAAAAAAAAATGTATATAATAATATAAAATAAATGTATTAGTTAGGGATAATTTACAATATAGGTGGACAAATGTCATATGCGAATTCGGTGATGCGATGAGAACCTGATTGGTGGAATATATTCATCCGTTGATGACTTGCCAATCAGATTTTCTTTTGCGTCTCCGAATCCGCATATGTGATTCAACTAAATATGACTATTTCTATATAATTTCTAAATATTCACGCCTGTAAAGCAGTTGAATGCAGTGATATTTTATTTTCGAAGTTAATGCTTTCCTCACTTGAGAGTCTACTTATGAGCGTATGGTCACGAATGGGTAAAGAATTTTGCTATGCGCCATCTACAGGCGATTTTCACCACAAATTGACAAAGATAAACAAACACCCACTCCCAAGCTGTGGAAGTGATTCTTTCGCGCTCTAGATCCTACATTGTCCCAGTTAGCTATGTTATGTTATGATTTTAGTGAAATAATTAATTGGAGTAGATTGAATTGATTGCCTACGGTTTTGCGACATGTAGTGAGATTTAGCTATCCTTACATTAGTTATCCCCAATTTTGCACGTAATGTGGAACTCTTATGTCAGTGAAAGTTTTTAAATCGAAAGGAACAAACACATTCCACCATAACCATTCAATTAATTTAATATTGATCTAAAAATTTTCTAGTGATTTTGCTGTTGTCAATATGCCTCGTGGAACAAGTGATCATTTGACTTTTTATGAGTTATGTTGTCTTTTTTGCTGTCCACCTTGTCCAACTCACATTGCAGCAAAACTAGCATTTGTCCCTCCAGAACCCACATATTCTCTCAAACCTGACGAGTCAGGGTCGAATTACTCCTTGTTCCTCAACAGCCGAGCTGAATGGCAATTCACTAACGAAGAGCTCAAACTAATGGAAGTTTTTTATACCAGAACTTCGAAAGGTAATCAAATAGCCTGCATGTTTGCTAAGTGCTCCCCTCTTGCAAAACATACCATCCTCTTCAGCCATGGTAATGCCGTAGATTTGGGCCACATGAGCAGCTTCTATGTTGGACTGGGATCGCGGATTAATTGTAATATTTTCAGTTACGATTATTCTGGATACGGGCAGAGCGAAGGGAAACCGTCTGAAAAGAATTTGTATGCAGATGTGGACGCTGCATGGCATGCCTTGCAAACCCGGTATGGTATTAGACCAGAAAATATAATCTTATATGGACAAAGTATCGGTACTGTACCAACCATTGATTTAGCTTCCAAGTATGAAGTAGGAGGTGTGATACTACATTCCCCCCTCACCTCTGGCATGAGAGTTGCCTTTCCAAACACAAAACGTACCTGGTTTTTCGATTCCTTTCCTAGGTGAGATCCACTTTTAAAGCTCTCATTATTTTTAAAATATATATATGGTGATGGAAAGGAACATTTATGTGATTGGTGTTATATATGAATGAACATAAAATGATAATGTAATTCTATATGGTTTCTGTTTAAATGTTATTTTTACCACTTAATTCATTATTTTAAGCCTCATTATTTTTGTCCCTCATCTTGTGAAATGTACCCAAATATGCCAAGTTTACATAAATATAATGTATCTTATTTTGATGTAGACAAGATGGGATAGGTGGAACCACATTACTGTTTACATTTCAGTTTAATTATTTGCCTCAAACATTGTAGTTTGAAGAGTTCTAACTGTTGGTTCCGGTACATATCAAATTATGCTTGCTTGGTGTAAAAAATTCCGATATCCATAGGAAGTGAGCAGTGTTTGAAATTGAAGTCAGTATCTAGATAGGGTCAGTTAATTGCTGTCTATGGGGAATAGTTCTCACTCTGTGGGGGAAATGTGCCTATGCTAATGAGAGCATGATTGGTAAATACCTGTCAGAAACTCTTAAAACAGAATTTCTTTCTCATCTACAAATCACACAATTTGTATGCATGTAGCGAGAAAATCCCTTATGTCTCTGAATTCAGAAGTTTGTATTATCTATACTTCATTCAAAACTTTCTCAATACTGGTGTGGCAATTAAAAAGCAACATATTAAACTTTTTCTATTCTCTATGTGTGCGAACAATTTTAAAAAATTAAAGTATGCTCCACTTGCTTCGTGTCATAAAACCTGATCTTTTATCAATTTTTATGAGAATTCATCCTTCAACTTAGATTAAATATTTTGAGTTAAAGGGCAAAGTCTATTAAATGCATAAGTATAGATAAAAAGCCTGATTATCATGACCAGATATGCAGAATATTCATGGCCACAGTTCATTGCAAATTTTTACCATTGCAGAGAAGTTTTTAATATTACTCATTATTTAAAAAAGAGAAAAAAAGATTTTAGATATGATGTTGTATACATGTATAATATCACTCTTTTTCTTAGATCGTTACATCAGTATGTAATTTCATTTTCACTTTAGCATTTTTTTAGTGATAAAACATGTGTTGTATATTGTAAACTGAGTAGTGAAATAAAGCAAGATTTTTTAAGTGAATCGAAAAGTGATTTTTATACCGAAATATTTCTGAGCGAAAATTTATTGTCAGGGGTCAGTCCAGACATTTTGAAAAGGGTCCGTTTCTGTAAAATTTTAAAAAAAATTACTCGTAATTTGTAAATATAAAATAAACGTTAAGTCACATTCTTTCAACCAGGGTCCGCTTTTGTGAATTTGTGCAAATAGGGTCTGTTATTGCAAAAAAACTTTATCAAGGAGTTTTTAAATTGTAAAGACATACAAGATTATGCTCAACACTGTAAAATTATAATAAAAGAAATTAAATTTTAAAAAATAAGCAGCAATTGCAGTTACTAAATTAGCGATGCAACATATAGATATTTGGTATTTAGCCTATACTGCTGAACACAGAATATTCATTTGGGACGAATAAAGAAAGAAGCGTCTGCTGAAGACCAAATTTAGTCGTTTGCATCTGTCTTTCTCTCCCCCCTTCCTGGGAAGGGTTTATTCGATTAAAAAAAACAGAGCTCATTCTAGGCAGGGTAAACAGGGCGCAGCACCCTACTGCCCTTTTAGTCAAAAGAATCCACCCTGTTGCCCCTGAAGTAAATTAGTGTCCTGATGTATTAAGACTCCATACCCTTTTTGCTCTTTCTTTCCGCAACTCTTTATTTTTTCCCCAAACTCTACAATGGATTTCTCAAACTTTTATTTTTAACTCTTTTTATTTAGTTTGTCATTGCTGTCAATACAAAGATTTATATGAGAAAGGAAAAATAGCCAACAAACCCCCTTGTTGCACTTGTCTTTGAAAGTTTGCAGTTACTTTCACTATCATTAAATCATAATTATTATTAATCATTTTAATTATTAAATCATAACTATCTATACACACTTAAAAACATACATTTATTATTTTATTAATATATGCATGCATTTTAAATAAATTAC